CAACAAACAATTACGAACTAGAAAGCAAAGATCAAGAACAAGCAGCAAAAATAAAAAAACTAAGACAATATGAAAAATATGCTACGAATTATTTTAATACTCAAGAGAAAAATTCCTCCATTTTTGGGATGGAGTGAGAAAAGAAAGAAAAGGTTGCATTTATAGAGGGAAGAAAAAATAGGTGGATTAGGTTAGGCAAGAAGATCTGTTTTAATAGCTGGGCCGCACTCAAATTTCTTGCCCAATTTGGATTATTTCATTTAATTTTCTGCCTGATAATAATGATTCCATGTGGCATTTACTGCGCTGTCTACGTTTCTATCGTAGGGTGGTACGCGTCTCTAAAATACACTCATTTCGTGATAATCGTAACACTTTTTTTTTATTTATACATAATATTCCTAATATTTTGTTATTTAGAGCATCATTATTGGTGAACACAAAAAAATGGTTCATGGGTCACTATCACCATTTCTCTCTCATCCAAATCAACCCATCAAACCATTTACAATATTCACTCTTAACAATGAACACTAAACAATGGTTCATCATCAATACTCCCTACCCCACCTTATTTTATTTTTGTAAATATAATCTTTTTTGTTTCATAATTATAATTTATTAACCCGATGTCAATGTAATTAATTGACGTATTTAATATTTTAATCGTGATTACTAATTAAGAAATTATCGCATTTTTTTATCAGCTTTTTAAAAAACTAATTCTTGTGATTAATATTTTTTAAACAACAACGCAACTAATTTTAATTAACAAAAAAAAAAAGAGGTACAAATCGTGATTACAGTTCTACAACTATAATCTAGTACATTTTATTTAACAAAAAAAACAACTACACATCGTTTTGTAAGATGTCCTTAGGGATAACCATTTGTTGTAAACCTAGTTGCCTAAGTTTTCGTTGTTACCAAATTTATTCCATATATGTTCGACCAAGTCGTTTTTTAGCTGCAAATGAGTCTGTTGATCCTCAATCTTTGTTCTACGAGACAAGTATAAGCCGATATCCACAATACGATCAGTACGGTACTCGGTAGTGTCCTCATTAGCGTTGCCTCCAGTATTCATAAACTCATTGGTATTAACGTTATTTTGATACGTCTCTCGTTCATCTTCAACGATCATATTATGTATTATGATGCAAGCGAGCATGATATTGTGGAGTATGTCGGTATCCCACGCCAAAGACGGCTTTTTAATAATGGCAAAACGAGCTTGAAGGACCCCAAATGCGCGTTCAACGTCTTTCCTTGCAGCTTCCTGGTGTTTTGCGAATAAATGATCCTGACGAGTTTGTGGACTCGTAATGGATTTCACAAAAGAAGCCCATCTAGGGTAGATTCCATCAGTAAGATAATACCCATTCGTATAATGATGACCATTGACTACGAAGTTCACAGGAGGTGTTCGACCCTCTAAGACGTCTTCGAACACAGGGGATCGATGAAGCACATTAATATCGTTGCAGCTACCTGGCATCCCAAAGAACGAATACCATATCCATAGATCTCTGTCCGCAACTGCCTCCAGTACGAGAGTTGCAACTCCTTCTCTTCCTTGATACTGCCCCTTCCATGCGTGTGGACAGTTCTTCCACTCCTAGTGCATACAATCAATGCTGCCTATCATGCCAGGAAATCCACGTTCTTCCCCAATACGTAGCAATTTTTCCATATCTGCGATGTTTGGACGGCGTAGGTACTGATCACCGAACAGGTTGATGACACCTTCTGTAAACTTTTGGAGTGCCAATCGTGAAGTTGCCTCACTTATATGGACATACTCATCACAAGCGTCTGAAGCACACCCGTAAGCTAGTTGTCTAACGGCCGCAGTGCACTTTTGAAGTGGAGACAAACCAAGACGACCTGCCGCATCTCGCCTTTGTTGAAACCAGGGGTCATGTTGGGTCACTGCGTTAAGAAGGCGCTCAAACACATGTTTACGCATTCGAAACCGGCGCCGGAACAAGGAACTTGGATAAACTGGGACTTCCGCGAAATAGTCATTGTATAACCGTGCATGACCTTCTTCGCGTCCCCTATCCTTTCGGGGCTCAGTAGATTTGCGTCGGCGTTGCTGAGTGGCAGCTTGAATAATTGGTGGAATGTACTCATGCATTACGTGTTGTATCATAAGACACACTTCATTACGTTGTTGAACTCTAAGCTCCCTTCCTTCATCATCCGAGTTAGATGAAGATGAAGAGGAATCGGTTGAGCTTTCGTTTAAACTGTTTGAATTCATTTTGTACGTAAGAAATGTAAGATAGAGTGAGGTTTGCTAATAGTAACTGCAAACGATTTATGTGTTTGTGTGTAAAAAAAATGAAAGAATGGTGTTTATTTATAGTGAACTAATTTGTAATTCTTCTTCAGAAATAACTGAATATAAAGAGACAAAGATCACATGGGCTATGACAAACAATGAATTACAACCACACATAAATTGAATGGAGAAGAAGGGTTTCACATGGCTATGACCAACACTGGATTAGAACCACGCAGAAATTGAATGGAGAAGAAGGGTTTCACATGGGCTAACAAAGGGGAAATTAAGATACTGACACAATTATATATAAAGAGACAAATTTATAGAGGGGAAAAAAATAGAGTCGTTGGTAATTTTTTTTTTTTTATTTGTATTTTGTAAAATATATCCGTTGTAAAATTACAACGGATATATTTAAAACAGTACACACGTGTCAAGCAGCGGCTGGGCCAAGTGGCGCGCTCCCAGCCGCTGATTTCTATTTTTTTTTCTGACCTTTAACAGAAAAACAACGTCGTTTTGCAACATGAAACAGCAAAACGACGTCGTTTTGCATGAATATCAGTCCAAAATATTGGTGGGGACCACAGTGAATTAATTCATGCAAGTGCTTGCTCCTGCAATCGAACCCATGACCACTCAACATGAACAATTAAAGAGTTTGCCATTAAGCCACCACCTTATTTGTTCACTCATTGTGAACTATTAAAATGTTCACCCTTAAAGATGCTCTTAGGCCCGTTGCTTTCATCTAATTTTTGCCAAACTGAAATCATTTTACTGAACTGAAATTATATTTACTGAATTAAATTATATGTGCTAAATTGAAATTATTTTTACCGAACTTAAATTATATTGCTGGACTGAAATTAATTTTACTCGACTGAAATTATTTTTACTAATTTTCAATTATATTTCCTCTTTAAAGATACTAAATTTTATTGAACTAATATTTTTTTTATTTAATATCATTTTATTAAGATGAAGTGAATAAGGCCTTAATAAGAATCCATAAGACTATAATTTTTCTTATATGAATCACTAATATTAATCAAATAGACTTTAATGGTGAATAAAGTCAAAATGTTTCACTTAAAAGCGGAGGAAGTATTTTCAATTACCATATTTTGCCGAAGTCAAATATTTTTTACTAAAATTAAATCATTTTTGTTGATCTTAACTTAAATTATTGTTTTACAAATGAAGTTTAATTTATTTAAAATTATTACAATTTATATTTTTTGGTTATCACTAATTGCTTTTTTTTTTATTTATTTAAATTAGTAAAAATGATTATAATTTATATTTTCTGATTATTACTGATTGCTTTTTATAATTGCAACATTTCCTATAATGGAAATACTCTATAGTCCATCTATTTTTTTGAAATGGAAATGTTTTGGGTAAAAATACACAAGGCCATGTGGCCCAATTAGATGGTGACAAGTGTCACCTTCAAAGAGGTTCAAATTGAACTAATCCTCTGCTGCCACGTGGCATCCCCTATCATTGGGAAAAAAGGCGGCCTTTCTGGCCCAATTCCCAAGATAGCCCACCATTCCTAGGTTTTCGTAACCTAGGATGGCGTCACGCATTTCGAGACCCTATAAATAGGGAGATGTTCTCACCTGGGAGCACATTCAGAATATTCACGAAAACAGAGCAAATCATTAATTGCAAATATCTCTCGGAATCCGAGAAAATACTTTACTTTCCGCACTTTTTACAGACTCCATATACGTTCTAACTTGATCGTCGGAGGCAGAACCCCACCCAACAGGAGTATCCGTTGTTTTGCAAGTATATGCGTCCAGAATCCGGTCTTGGAATTGTAACTCTCATGAGGGACACAAAAGACCCCGAAACAGGAAATACTCTATATTTTAAAATGGAAATACTTTATACTCCCTCCGATTTTTATAAAAGTGTTTTATGTTGGCCATTACACTTGCCAACACGTTACTTTTTATTTTATTTTTTATTTTTTTTATTTTTACGGGGACTAATAATATCTCTAATTAACAATAAATATAAATTATAAAAAATTATATTTGACTAAAAATATCTCTAAGATTAACTCCAATAGTAAGCTAATTGTCAAATTAGCTTGCCATGTCACATACACTTTTAAGCTATACTCCGTATCATTTAGCTACTTTGAGCTCTAATGACTAGCTATTATATTACTACTTAAATGAATCCTACCTCCTTAATTAACTTTTTTATATCATTTTATTTATTCTATTTTTTTTTGGCAAGTTTTTTTTCTTTGCTTGGCCAAGCTAATTGTATTTTTTAGCTCCAAAATGATCAAGCTAGTAGTTAGAGATTATTTACTATTACAAGTAAGTCCCTAATTACAACCATCGGAGTTGCTCTAACTATCAATGAATATAAAAAGTGAGTACTGTATTACTATATCTCTATCTTCACATAGTCTCCACTCATACCTAACTCACATTTTTTTAAAATTGTTTTTCTTCTCTCATACCCCTTAATTTTACATAAACTATTCAATTATGGGTTTCCTTCAATTATTATCATTTTTTTAATTTCTCAACAGACCTCTCTTGCACAAATTTTTAACAAATTCAACCCACCGCATAAAACTTCATGCCGATCTAAGATTTTGGTGAAGTAAAATTAATTTTACTTAAGTGAACCCAGGTATATTGATTTATGTGTTATTTTAGTATTTTACTTTTATCATTTAAAGAATAAAAAAAAGCTATAATTATGTTACGAGGGGAAATATATTCACAAATTTACCCTCGTTTACGTTCGTATATACACCCCGATTTTGAGTGGTAATCTATAAAAAAAATAGTCGACCCAAATAAGCTCCAGCCCTTCCATCCGAACAAAAATAGAAATGGAGCACAACTTCAATGGCGGAGAAGAAGACTCACCAAAATCAGTCGCACCAGAAGAAGAGCTTCCTCAGCTTCAATGGAGGAAAGAGACTGTACCAAGGGTTTTCATAATCGTCAGCTCCAAGCTTCCTCAGCGCGACCTCATCTCTCTCTTACTCGTTAGCCCTTGGCTTTATCGCACTCTCGCCTCTAATCCTTCTCTCTGGCAGGTCGTCTTTTGTCTCTCACATTCTATCAATCAAAGAGTTGTTTTTGATGAATTTGCAGAGAATTTGGTTGTTTATGTGGTTGAATTTTCTTCTGCAGGTTCTTGATTTTCATGAGTTGAACAATGCCGGAAATCGGCTAGTAGCTGCTCTTTCTCTGGTTAGTTTGATTGCTCGATTTTGCGCAAATTCAGTTCAAATTACATTAAGATATTGGTTACTATTATTGTGATTTTGTTTGAATTTGAGAACTGTAAATTTGAGTATTGTTGTTTGTTACTGAGTGTGAAGCTGCTCTTTTTTCAGTATTTGTTCGAGTTTCTGCGATTTGCAGTTCAGTTTTACAATCGATTCAATTGCTATGATTGAATTTGTATGAATTTAATATTGCAAAGTTGAGTATTGTCGTGTGTTATTGAGTGTGATTTTACCTGCTCTTTCTCTGATTATGACATTTGCTATTTTCTGCGATTTAAATTCTATTTTATTTTAAATTCAATTTGATTGCTATGATTGTGTATTTATATGAATTTAAGAACTGCAAATTTGAGTATTGTTGTGTGTTATGGAGTTTGATTGTCGTGTGATATTTGCTGCTCTCTTTCTCTGGTTAGTTAATTTGATCAATTTTGCGTGATTTCAGTTCAATTTTACACTCAATTTGATGCGGTGTTTCTATATTTTCTTTTTCTTTTCTTTTCTTTTCTTTCTTTTTTTCTTTTTTTTTTTTTTATGATTTTAGAAAATTGCAAAATTTGAGTACTGTTGTGTTACTGGAATTCTGTTGTGAAGTTGGATAATTGATTAGCTGATGCTGAAATTTATTGTTGCAGCCTAGGTATAAGCATGTGAAGCAAATTAACCTTGAATTTGCACAAGATCTTGAAGACAAGCATCTTGAACTCCTCAAAAATAAGGTGAGAGCTGAATTTGAGAGGTCCATGTATTATTTGATTGTTTAGAAGTTCGGTAGGTTTGTTAACCCTATTAAATGGCTTGAGTGCTTTCCATCTAGTATTGTAATGCAAAAGACTATCAAAGCATTTCATAACAAAGTTTTTAAGAGCTAAAAACACCTAACGGGGGAAGGAAAGTGGTTAGTTGTATTATATATTAGTTTACACAGATGTTATGGCAACACTTTTTTCAACCAATATAGGATGATTATTTACTAACATGGATGGCTACCCTTGTAAGATTATACGGTGGCCAATACCATTAGTAATTTTGGACATGTTTGTAGCTCTTATTATGTAGTGAATCTGAAATTCTGAAGAGCTATTTTGAAATTTGATATTAAGATACAAGAATATATATAGCTTTAAGTTGATCCTATGTTGCATAGCATGGTGGGACTAGGAATCTGTAACTAAATCATTTATATTCTTTGGCATGCCTGGATCCTCTTTAGTCTTTACTGATTAAGAATGTAAAAGTGTAAGGAAAACTTTTACTCAAGGAATTATTTAGATTTAAGAGTATATTTTTGTCATATTTTTTAGTTTAGCAATATTCCTTGGGTAATATTGAATTGCAACCCAGTTGCTAACTATGTTGCACGGATACCGACACGGACACGGACACGGACACGATACGGACACGGGAAAACGGCAATCCTGAAATAGGGGACACGGGTACGGCATATAACAAGGCATATAATATATCAAAAAAACGAGAATTTGACAACCTATTCAATAAAACACTAAATAATTAGCCTCAAAACACACAATTTTGTTAAAACAAGTAAATAAACAAAGTGTACGAACGTAGTCTCATACATATCAAGAAACCATCAAACCAAATACATGTCTTAATAATAGTTTTACAAATCATAAATAAAATAAACAAAAGTACTAATAGTTTCATTCTTCACCATCACCAAGTACATCATCAAAAATCATATTCTCCATCTCGGGTTCATCAAGTGAGAGCTCGGCCATCTCTAGAATACCAACCTCTCCTAGGTTGTCATGCTCATCTCCACCCACATCCCACAACTTAGATCTCCCCTTAGTGTATTCTTCACTTCTCCTAGAAAGTAATCGAAGGTTGTTATGAATGTATACCAAGTCTTGAGCACGTTTAGGAGTAAGCTTATTTCTAGTGCAAGAATGAATAAACTTATAGGTGCTCCAATTCCTTTCACTACAAGAAGAGGAAGAAGGTTGACCTAATAGCTTATAAGCCAAACCTTGAAGCATAGGCACTTGGGAACCATAAGTTGCCCACCAATTTTTAGCATCCATCAAAGCCATATCATGCATGCAATCAATGTTGAGAAAGATCCCCTCTGATTTTTGTGAGAATATTGCAAATTCCGTGTTGATCTTGAATCTTTCATCGGGACTTTGGAAAAGCCTTCGAAAGCATTGTAATCTTTGTGTGGAAATTTCATTGTCGGCATTTGGAGCAACTCGTCCCGGGACCTCATTAAGCCATTCTTCCGTGTAAAATCTTTAACAACAAAATAAGAATAGCCATAAGAAATTAAATAAAAAACAAGGAAAAATAAATAAAGATGAATTAAATAAGTAAAACTTACCTTGGATTCAAAGAATGTGCTAATGAATGAAGTGGAGTACTACCCTTACTCCAACGACTACTAAGAATCCCTTTAACTACATTAAAGAAGGTAGATTGTTCATAATCTAGTTTACCCTCTTTCTTGTAGATGGCATCTTTCACCTTTTGAACCATAATGTCCCATCTTTCATAAACCAAATGCAAGGAAGATTTGTCGGTGTCACAAACCCTAATCATCTCATAGATTGGGCGTGTAAAATCAAGAATGTAATCAACTTTTTCCCACCATATTTCATCCAAAATCTTTTCCCTTACATGTGAGGCTTGCCCGCGTCGATCATCCTTGTATAAGGACCAATTCTCACTAATAACCATTGATTGAAGTGATGTTTTAAGGAGTTTCAACCTTTTAAGCATGCACACAATTGAAGCAAAACGAGTGTCGGCAATGCAAAGTAGTTTTAATGGCGAAAACTTATTGAACATTGAAAGCCTCATCGAATGATTCATTATGTAATTTTTAATGAACAAGGCATCTGCATGAACTTCCGTTATCCAATTACATTCATCATATACTTCAACATTATTCAACACATTCTTAGCTGCACAGATGCTTTTCATTGCAAGATTAAGTGTATGAACAACACATGGTGTCCAATATATATGAGGATACCTACCCTCAACCAATTCCCCTGCAGCCTTACAATTACTTGCATTATCTGTGATTATTTGAACAACATTTTGATCTCCAATTTCATCAATCACCTCACTTAGTAAGGTAGCAATGAAATCTTTGTCCTTAATCTCACCCGAGCAATCAATAGCTTTCATAAACATAGGACCCGTTTCAGAAGCAATCATAATGTTAATCAAAGGCCTTCTTTGTGGATCACTCCACCCATCACTAACAATGCTAACACCTTTTGTTTTCCATGTGGCTTTCATAGGTTGTAATAACCTATCCACATTTTCTGTCTCTTTACAAAGCAAAGTTGTTCTAAGTTTGTTGTATCCGGGAGGCTTATAACCAGAGAGATTAGAATTGGCAGCCATTGTATATGAACTAACATAGTAAGGGTTTCTAGCAAGATTAAAAGGCAACCCCCCTGTGTAAAACATTCTAGCAATTTCAGAATCCAAGTGGTCACGAGATTTCACATTAAAAGCATCAGAAATTGTATTTTTTGATTTCCTCTTCTTTACATTATCAAATGAACCTAGTCTCATTGATGTAGCTTCATTTGATGTGTGAGAAGATATGGGTTCATTTGAAAAAGGTGGAACTTTTGGTAACAAAGATTTTTTATAATCCTCGGATTCACGATGAAGCGATCTTAGTTTAGCAAGGTCATCAATTTTCACTTTATTACAAGTTTGAATCCCTTTCCCTTGTTCACCTAGCAAATGAGCTTTCACTCTAGTGTATGAACCATTTTTAACTTCGCCGCAAAAGTTACATTTCCAATTATAATTTCCTCCACCACCCGATATTTTATCACCCTTAACAACAAACTTCCACAAAGGGTAGGGGTCCTTAGACTCAGATGAATTACTACTACCACTAACATTGCACGAAGCAGAGGCACTAGAACCACTAGAAGACATTCCTGACAATTTCAACAAGACAACAATACATTTTCAGCAAATCAAACATTTATAGTTTAGCTCAAACAACACAATCAAATTACACAATGCACATGTGTTATATGTATAAGTTTATAGTGTAAATGTTAGAAATATAGAGTACTGTTTCATTTATATATACAGTATCCACATGCATATTATTTCTCCAAAACAATGGGCACTAACATACACAACATATATGATATATATCAATGCACTAATGCAGCAGTTGAAGGGCAAGCATAAAGTTTAGACTAAATGATCACAAAAATCACAAAAATGCACAATAGTTTAGACTAACTGAAAGTCTGAAAGCAAGTTTTTAAACCCAAAAATGGTCAAAACTCAAAAGGGGTAAACAAATAACAAAAACGAAAACCATAAAACACTACATATCTCTTAATCTAGAACATAATATTGAAGTAATTGAACCACAAAACGGCAAAACCATGATACAAATTACTGAAATTAGCCAATTTAAGCAAATCGTGAAGTGAAGGAATGAAATAAAATTAAAAATTTAAAACGAGAATGAGAGATTGAGAGGAATACCTGAGAAAGTGAGAAGGCTGAGAGCACCGACGAGAGTGACGCCTGGACGGCGGCGACGAGCGACGATCGAGCCGACGAGTGACGGGCTGACGGCGAGTCGACAAAGGATTGAAGGAATAGAGTATTAAAGTGGCCAGGTTTCGTGATGACTGAGGAGTGAGGACTTGCGAGTTGCGACGAGCGACGAGCCGACGACTGACGCTGTGACGGTGGACGGTGGGCGACGGTCAGGCGACTTCAGTCGGCGGCGATTTGGGTTTGAGAAGGTTGAGGAAGAATGAACTCGTGAAGAGGAAGATTGAAAGCAGGAGGGTTTGAGAAAAAAGAAACTGAGGGAGTTGGGCTGGAATAACAAAATGGCGTGTCCAACATAAAACGGGCCGTGTCATAGGGAGACACGGTCCGTGTCCATGACGTTTTTTTTTTAAAAAAATAGGGACACGGATTTTGAAGTGTCGGACACGTATCGCACCGTGTCCCACCCGTGTCGGTGTCGGACACGCGTGTCGACACGGACACCTCAGCTAGGTGGCGTGTCCGTGCTTCACAGGTTGCTAATACTCATTGATTAGTACTTTAAGGCTATATTGTCTTCACCTAAAAAATTTAGAAGTTTTGGAAAGACAAATTTAGATAAGTTCTAATCGTATCATATCAGTTTTACTTTTTACAAGTGTATACTCAGTTCAATATACACTACAATAATCTCTAATAAGTTCAAATTGATTCCAACAAGTTTATAGTAAGTTTAAATAAGTGAATATCAAGTGAAATAATCATTGGGGGTGCATTTATTTCTGTAGGTAAAAATTAGTTAGTTTTTTAGTTAGATGATAAATGTGTAATCATTTCTGCTGTTTGAAATAGTTGAACATTAGTTTCAACTGTAAAACGATACTTGAAAGCAACCAAAAGCTCTATTTACCAGTCTTACCACATGTACTATGGCTAATATATTGGCCTCACTGCCTCAGTTTTGAAGTGAATCTGTCTAAATTTATACTTGTAAATTTGCTTATTTACTGCGGTGCCAAGTGTAGCTAAAAAGAGCAAGGGCCAGGTTATTATTGTTGTTATTTCTGTGGTTTATCTTATTTTTTAATTTAAGGATTTGAATACTGCATCATATGTGCTCTGCTTTACCATTATCTGTTGTGACTTAATTCCATGATTGGGCAGTGCTCCAGCTCTCTTCAGAATTTAGAGATACTGAACTTAAATGGATGCCAGAAGATATCTGATCAAGGAGTTGAAGCCATTACTAGCGCATGTTCAAACATGAGAGTCTTTTCAATATATTGGAATGTTAGGTATGTATCTAATGTATTCATTAACAGTTTAAGTTACTAATCTGGAATACTATCTATGTTCTGGCTGATAATTTTATTGCTTGTTCTAGGGTAACGGATGTTGGCACGCAGCATCTAGTTCAGAATTGCAAACACGTTATCGATTTGAATTTCAGTGGTTGTAAGGTATAAATTCATTTAGATATGATTCTTGTTTATCATGACATAATGTTACTCAATTTGGTAGACCCCTGCAAACCACTAACAGAAATAGACAATTTAATACATGAAAATGGTGCATTTTGGCCTATTTTACAAACTAGGTAGCGAAGTGCATTATCATCCCCAATCTCTTACAATTGTATTAGTGAATTAACAGTGCATGAGATATATCCTGTTTTCTTTGTATCAACGAGTTGCTTATCACAGTTGCAAAATTTATTTATTTTAAACTTTTTGTTTCTAGGTATTACACATAGATTTATCTCATTCTTTAGTAATCTTGATTCTTGCATTTAATTTGTGTAGACAGTATATACTCATGGATTCCAACAAAACAGTAAAGTAGACTTTTCCTTCAATCCAAATATTTTTACATTCGTTCAGCTTAGCTCATCAATGAGCATTACAAGGATTTAAATAGAGAATTAGAGACGCAACCCCTTTGCAAGGATATCTAGGTCACACATCTTGCAACCACTGAAAGTGTGACAACTAGCCTTAGAATTTTCTACAACCTTCCCTTAGAAACAGATAAAAGTGACAATAGACTGTCTTTTTCTTCCAAAGCAAAAATACATAAGCCGGAGGATGAGGCTGAATTTCTTGTGAATGGAACCCCAACCCAATCACTACCACAAAAAGCATTGAGTTGAGCATTGGACTAACAAGCAGGACTTGATTAGGTGATTTAGAGAGATACCACAAAACACTTTTAGCTGATTGGAAGTAAACTGCAGAGCCTGAGCACATGTACTCTATTAGCAATATCAAGCCATGTCATTGTTAATTACATGAGTTTCCCATTATAGGGATCATGATGAGATAGTTGCTCACAAATTTTTGCTTGGAATTCTTTGAGTCCTGCGATTAGTTATCCCATATTCTTCTTGTAAATCTATTACTATATTTTAAAAATAATTTACTTGAGGAGTTGAGGTAATACTGTTTATAAATTCTTAACTAGATCTTTCTAATTATAGGTTCCCTATTAAGATTTTGGTAGTGGTGACGTTAATTATTAGGAAAATTGGCTTAAAATAATCCCAACTATTATCAGTGGGTGCAAAATAATACGACCTCAGTTATTTGCTTTCAGTAGTACCACCTTTTGTAATATATGTGCAAAATGGTGCGCCATCAGAGAAGGTTCAGGAATATTTCGTCCATATTCATTATTATATTATTTTTGTATTAATTATTAATATTTTTCCAAAATACATAATTCCTACATTTTTATTTACAATAACACATTATTTTGACATGACACACACTTTACGAGAGAGATTAGACTAGTTAACGTACAAATTAACTAACAAAATTTTACCACCAATAAGAAAAAAGTGTTATGTTTAAAAAAAAAAAGTGTAAGTTGCTACGAATAAAACTCGTAGCATAATTTGTTCGCTTACATAGTATAATAATTTTTTCAAGCATGTCAAAAGGTGTGTTGTAAGTATAAAAAACAAAGGAAATATTATGTTAATTTTTGGTTTTTAATACATTTTTTGAAACTAATTATATCAATATAATAATGCATTTAAATACTTTATTTACTTTTATAGGAGGAAATTATTAACATAAAATGTGTTTTGGAAAAAAAAAAACTTTAATATTAAAAAATTATAATAACTATAATATAATAATGAATATGGAAGTAATATTCCTTAAGATGCCTTTATCGGTGGTTGGCATACCATTTTGCACATACAGTGCAAACCTAATAGCAAATAGTTGAGGTTGTATTACTTCGCACACACCGTTAATAGTTGGTATTATTTTAAGCCAATTTTCCTAATTATTACCTACATTTCCAACCGAATGAGATTTTACCGACATACCAAGATGCATTGAAATTCACAAAGAAAATCACCATAAGCCTCAACTTTCAAGTTCTGTATTCTTACAACTACAATGGTTGGTATTTGCAATGTAATGGTGGTGCTAGAGGCAGAGGAGAAAAATATAGATATTAGTATTGTGGAATAGCCAACGTGAAAACATTGTAGTTGCAAACTTTTCATTAACAAAGGTTGTCAGTTTGATGATGATAATTGGTAAAATGAAAAGCCCTTCTAGGAACCATTTGTTTACAAATTGACGCCTAGAGTTCTTAAAATTATTGGAAGTACAACCATGGGCGATACATTTAAGAATAGCTGGTAAAGGTAGTTCCTCATTCCTGAGAAAGACGACTTGGCTAATCTTGCAGAAGGCAAAATTCTTGAGACATTGGACAAATGATGTGCTTTACCTCGCCAATGTAAACACTTGTAGTGTAGATACTAGATAGTGTACATTCAATGTTAGAGATTTGGTTCTTATCTAATATCCATGTGTAGATAATAGTTTTTTCGTCCTTAATAAAGTGTGTAGGTCGTCAATTTCTATAAAGGCATCTTGTATTTTTTGGTCTTATACATTGAATTAGGGTGTGTTCTATTTACCCGATTTTTAGTTATCTGAATTTATCAACCCTTATCTAAACTTATTTCAACTTATTAAACCTTATTAACACTTATTTGACCTTATTAACACTTATAAGATCATATTAGACATTCTTGGAACTTACTGTATAATATATTGGTAATATAAGTATATAACAATATAATAAAAGCATTAATATATGAAAATATTAGCATTTTTATTATTTCAATTAAAAAAAAAACAATTAAAAGTGTATGTAGTAATAACACCAAATGTAATTCTATTCTTCTAAAAGTTTGTTTCATAATCATCATCCGTCATCACTTCCTTCTTCCGTATCATCCTCTATGACATCTCTAACTGACTCCCATATATCTTTTGTTATTTTTTTTTCGAACACGGTTCATAGCTTTTTTTCTTAGTTTATCATACATATTATAATCAGTGGCATCATCTTTAAGATCTTCCATCTATTCTTTAATATGCCGAAACATCTTTCAATTGTTGTACGTAAAGAGGATTGTTGAAAATTATAATGCTCTAAGTTTCCAACAAGTGGACCCCTTTCTTCAAAATATGGCATATGCTCTAAGTCTGTTAAGATGGGGCTTTAATATCCATAGTATTTGTGGATATGTTGAGTCAACTAAAAAGTATTTTCCTATTCATTATTATACACTAAAAATAAGGTAGCATATTTTTCTAAGTAATAATAATTTTAAACTTGAAAAAGTACTTGAAGGTGGATGGGGGAATTTCTTGGTAACATCACCTAAACAATGTGTCTAAACTGTCGTGTCATTTGCTCTTCCTTATAAGCCCACATTAAGAAAAGTAAATAACATGTTAAATGAACACGAAGCCATGACACTCCATGTTTTGTTTCCTTTACGTCCTCTATATGGCTTAGCACCAACGTCATCAACAATTTCTTCTACTACGTATATGAGTATCATCTAAAGCTCCGACACAATCCTAAGAATGAAGATTTTTTTTTTAATTAAAGAACGATAAAAATGTAGCTTGCTAGGATAAACATTCTCACTAAATTAAATTTGTTACCTTGAAAAATGGCCAATATAATGAATTATTTTTAATTTATGGTGGTAATTCATTGAAACTCTGATATGGTCAAATAATATCACAAGATTATGAAATCAAAGCTTTAGATGAAAAAAACACATTAAAGATTATAATATCACAACATTGCTCTAAAGTAGATATAATAAAAAACACGAATACGTAATTAATAATATGTGACTCTTCGTACTTACCTTTGTAACATAATAAAATAAAGTTCCAGAAAATCACAATAAAAACACATTTATCAAAATAAAGCAGTACCAAATTTTAACTTATTCCATATTGAAAAAAAAATGAAACTTACGCACCCAAACTTTATAATAACATGTGCTAACCATCTTACACGACTTATTATGTTAGTTTAATAATCATGATCTAAACTATCATTGAAGCTAGGCCTATAACAATCATCGGGGAATTGGATTTTTTCCTCAAATAGAGGATTCTCGTTGTCCAAAAGAGAAAAAAAAATCACTTTCATTTGGATTACGTAAGAACTCCAACACCTGGAATATAAAAGACTTTCTGTAATTGCTAAAATGCTAACTGTTGAATCAATTTTTCATATTTTGATGGAGATGGTCTAGATTGTCTTAAAGGAACCAAGTTGCATGTTTCTTCTTAAATAATCCATGCAAGTTTCAATGTCATCTTTCACACTCTTTCTACTAGAGGTAGCAGTGCAATATGAACTCTTACATCTGTTAGAAGATATGATCTTGCTTTCATAGCCTGACCTTTCAACATCTTCCATATCATCATCTTTGGTTCTAAGTTCTTCATCAGAATCCCCAGAACCTTCCTTAGAGTTATCTTGAACAGGAATCATGTGTTGGTTGTGTTTGGTTTGTATGGTCCCAACAAATATGTCATACAACTTATTCTCAAACATCTAGGATTTCTTTAGAAGGCTTGAAGAATTCTTATAAGCCAATACAAAAAGAAAAAAGTTACATATTATTCCAAGTAATAACAAAAATATAAGTAGGAAAAGCAAAAGTCATAACCCAAATACCTTTATAAATGCTTTCCACTTCTCATCTTTTGGATCAATCACATGGTAACCTGTTTACTCATTCCAACCAATTCCAGTCCAACTTTTAAGTTCGTTCCAAGCTTTCCTTTTGTTTCTTTTCAAAGTCTTTCCCTATTTGTGCATTCAAATGTAATAAATTGTGTCCCAGTTGTACATGCCACCTTTTGGCCTTTTGTTTTCTTTTACTAAATCCAAAAATATCTCAATATCCTCATTGTTCCATGATGTCCTTTCCTTGGAAGTCATTGTAGTTTTGTTAATAAATAAAATATTCAAAGCAATATTAACTAGTATAATACTAATATGGGTGATGTTGGGACTTACAAATAGATGTTAAGAGCAAAAATGCACAAAGCAACAAACAGTCTAAAGTATTACTTTAAAAACAAAAAGGTACACAACTCATTTAGTCATTTTAGAAGTTCGTATACGTATATATGTTTTCTTATATTTAAGGAGTACTACGTATAAGTTAGCAAAGCATATCCTTGTTCAATTCACTTACCATCCATTCCATCTGTAATAATATGAGAAAAGCAACTGCTACTTTGCCTCCATATTTCATCTGAGAGCTAGTGAAGTTCAATTCACTTACTAAATAGTTCTTATTTTTAATTAATGAAATCTCGTGATTGAAAAAAAAAAAAAAAAGAATTAGGACTTCTACTACATATGTTATTTACTTGATTCTTTGATTTCTTATGTTGTCCTTATTGTATCTTTAGCTTTTCATGCAAGTACGGGCTACAGGATGTGATGTATTGTATTTAATATTTTTTAGTATAGTATAGAAGCTAAAAATACTACGAAATAACGTATGTACATGTAAAAGAAATGAACAAATGTGATGTAAAAAAAAAAACACGTCAAGCATGCATCTATATTCTGTCTCACTAGTGCTCATCTAAATTTGTCTATCATGTATTCATGTATCACGTATTACACTAACATATGGAAAAAATATTGTCAATGATAATGTAAGATAGAAATCATAATTTTCCTAACTAAGATTGTTTTAGAATCAGGCTTAAAAATTCCATTGAAAAAAATCAATAAAAATCAAAAATAGAAATTAAAGGCATTATAAACTTATGTAGCTTGTTTGTCTAAGTACACTGTTATTGATACTACCTCTGACAAAACCTGAAATATGTAGTATGAAAATAGAAAATTAGTATCAAAATAATAAAGTGATTTAAGAAACTCATAAACAAGCTCTCATACCTTGGTGTTTTGTGAAGATACGCCTAATTTTAGTTTTTGAATAAGAAAAAGTATGTGTATATATATTATAGTAATGGTAACAAATTGAAGAAACTAAAATCACTATTTTATAGCTTAGGAATAGTAGATACTTTACTTTTAACAACATTATTAATCTTTATTTTATAGCTAGGAATAGTAAATATTTTATAGCTTAGGAACAATTATTAAACTTCATTGTTAACAACACTATTTTATAGCTTAACTAAGTTATTAATCACTATTTAAACCTCAATGTCAACAACACTATTTTATAGCTTAGGAACAATTGATTATTTGACCTATAACCATCATATAATCATATGAATAGGTTTATTTATTTGCTTGACTTTTGTTTAAGCAAAACTTATATGATTGTCATGTCAGTCTTATCATAACTTATTCCTCCGTAACTTATTCCTTCGTTTCTTTGTGGTTGCAACACACACTTTATCACGGTATTTAAGAAAAGTGGACCTCACATGATATAATACACTTAAAATGGGGTTAAGAGGTTGTTAGGAGCATAATCAAGTGGACCATGAGCTGAAAATAAAGATAATAGTACAATTTTCTCCATTAAAACCTTTTCTTTTATAGTGTGTTGCAACTATTATAACATTTCCTTTTTAGGAAAGTGTTGCAACTATAAAGAAATGGAGGAAGTATAACGTTACTTTTTTTTTTTTTTTTGGTAATGCACACGTTACTTTATTCTTGTATGAAACAGATGATAATACAGCAATAAAAATAGACAAAAAAAAAAAAAAAAAAAAGCAATCTTGATTAGTAATACTCTATCTAATTGGTGGTTCGTGGAAAGAACATAACTTATAGTTTTAAAAAACATCATGAATTTATAAAATAACACAACATTGAAATAAAAGAATGATTTTTGAGGAATAGTTTTTAAAAAAGATAATTAATAAGTGCTAGTTGAAGTTTACCTCACATTAATGTCAATTTATATCAAAATATTCAATTTTCTAGATTTTCTCTATCTTAAATTATTTTCATCTAAAAATAATTCTAAGGTTTCATTTTCAAATTTCAAAAATTCAAAATTCAAAATTTCATTTTCAAAATAAAATGGAATAACATATTATTCAAGTGTAAAGAACATAATTTGTACTCCCTACGTTTTTTTTATTTGCATCACTTTCCTTTTATGGGTGTTTTTTTAAATGCATCACTTCTATATTTGGTAATTTTATATTATATTTTATCATTTCTCTCTCTTACTTTAAACCCCACTCAAATTATTTATCATTTTTCTCTCTTCTATGGTCCCCACTTAAATAATAAAAATATCTATCCTCTCTCACATACTTTCTCTTTGATGGTCCCTATCTTACTTTTACTATAATAATTTATTCACTCACTCACAATATTATGTTACTTTCCTAAAACTCCATGCATTCCCAAGTGATGCAAATAATAAAAAAAAAAAAAACGGAGGGAGTACTTCGTATTATATAATGATACCCAAAAAACATGTTTTAACTATATACCTTAAAGAACTTTCTTTGTAATGTAAAGAACGTATAGTTTAGACACAAAGAACATATTGGTTAGAGTTATTTCATTCCAATTAAAAAATGAATATGAATCTAAGAAATAAAAAGAACATTCATCATAATATAAAAAAACATATCTTCAACCTCCGAAAATAACACAAAAGGCAGAAAAAAAGATTAAAAAAATGAAAAATTGAAAGATACCTTTTCTCTCAATAATGAATTCGTCAATTACATTTATGGATTAAAAGATTCATTAGAACGATAAAATCAACTTTGTAATAACATTGAATCATTTCGAAACTCAAAATTTACCAAGATTACTTTCTCTATGTAAACTCAATTTCACTTTCTTAATAAAAAATGAAATTTTGTTTGCCAAAAGTAATATGGAATGTAAATAATAAATCAAATCCATAAATTAAAGAGTATAAATAACAAATCAATCCCTTAAATTTTGTTTTGAATTATTTTGCTCGTGTACTTTATATTTGTACACAATGTTCTTTCCGCGTTTTTTAAACCCTTGTATTTTGATTGGGTGGTACACCCAATGGTACACCCGGGTATATGATGTAATTTTCATACTCTATAAAGTATAATAAGTGGAAATAAGGTGAGGAGTACGTTAATTTTGAACTTATTAACTCTGAACTTATTTGGAATAAGTGAATATAAGGTGATCATGCCCTTAATTTCAATGACCCATGGATGTGTATGTAGCAATTGTAGTGATGTAGGATGTGCCATGAACATGAGTCAAGGTATTGGTTTCTGGTCGGTTGACTTCAATGTGTACATGTGCCTCAAAACTAAGTCGAAAAAAATGGCTCACAACATCTCCTCCATCAGCATCAATCTGTCTCAACCAATCTCCATAGTTGTAAATGCGTCTCCTCCAAGTTTTGTGAAAGGGTGTAATAGAGTATATAAAATAAACCTAGGCTTCAACCATTAGTTTAAGCTTTTGGTTGAGTTACCCCTTTAAAAATTAGATTAAAGAAAAATACATTCCATAAAAAAATAACTCTAAATATATGTATAGAAAATGGCAATAGGACTCATAGTTTAAGCGCCTATGCATGTACCATGGTATCAAAAACATAAACCATGCTTCTTGAAATATACGCTTGATCCTTGTGCCATGATCCAAGTGTATAAACAAACTTTTTGATGAATCAAAGAACATAGAAAAATTTACCTCTCACTCCTACGTGGAAGGTTTATATTCCCTGCCAATGCTTTCGAAATTTATGCGGACCGTCGCCGCATTAATATCAAAATAGTATCAACTAGGAAGTTTGATTTGTTTGCCTTGTCTAAAATATGTCGGAAGTAGGTGTGTGGTGGTATTATGGTTATTAGTGGTGAGAGTGGGAGGGGGAGGAGGAGAGTGGAAGGAGTATAAAAAGTAATCCAAGGGTAACATGGTTATTGTATATTTAATGTTAACTTGGAATTTGAGTTCTTCATTTCATGCAAGTTGGATGTCTTGATTGTGTTTCTACTTTTAGAAGAACTATCCTATGTCATTTTACTCGAACTCTTTACCTCAAATTTCAGTCTAAGATCCTTGACACTTGGACATGGGTAGAACATTCGGACACTTCTTTTAGGTAAAAATCATGCAAAATTTTCAATAAATAAGCAGTTTGGACACTTGAACACCTGTACTCTAATCAAACATTACACATGAGTCCAAGTAACATCGATTATATGCATCAAACTCCATAATTTAGTGATATCTTTACTCCATATGATTATCTGATTACAATGTAACTATAAAGTTGCATTTCCCTTTTTCTTTTGTTATCTTCGAATTTGACATTTGCTGTATTTATGTATATCAATCTCTCCAATCCTTGTAAAGTTAATCGTAAACTACCCGGATTTGAATTCTGGGTTCCGGCGTTCAGAGGTCTAGAAATCTGGCAGATCCAAAGCCAGGGATGGTTATTTGGGGTCTAATCCGGAATTGAACTTGTACATTGGACCCGATTGTTAATTGGTTCGGATCTGGATCCTGCAAGGCCGACCCAAAAATCTAATTTGTTGCCATTCCTACATGCTTCTGACTAGTTAGCTACTTAGCTATTGGTCAAAACTTAAGATATAAAATCATGTGCTTGGGTTGCTCCTCAGTGAGTAAATTTGTGCTTCTGTTTACTTTCCTTTTCCCATTTCTAATGGATAATTCAATAAAATGTGATCCAGAATATCTCTGACAAAAGTATGCAACTTGTTGCTGACGCTTATCAAAAACTCGAGTCATTGAACATTACAAGGTAATTGTAGTATAGGCATTGCAAGAATCAGACTAATGAAGGGTGTGTTGGTTGTAATTCTGGTGATGTGTCTAATTCCCATATTACTGCTTATGAAAACAGGTGCATCAAGCTCAGTGATAGTGGCTTGCAGTACATACTGCGCAGTTGTTCCTCTCTTAAGAGCCTCAATTTGTATGCCTTGTCTAGGTAATAGATAATTTCATATCTGACTATTCTTTCAATCCTATTAATGCCTAATGCTATGTTCTTATACTGACAAATTTGTTTATTTTATTCAGCTTTACTGATGAAGTTTACATGAGTATGTCACTTCTTACTCAACTCAGGTTCTTAGATCTTTGTGGAGCTCAGGTAGAAATATTTTCTTTACGATAAGACAATTGTTGAAACTCTAATCTTATAGGTTTTTGGTGCTGTAGAATCTGTCTGATCAAGGATTAATGTGCATTGCCAAATGCAATTATTTGGTCTACCTTAATTTATCTTGGTAAGAAAAGCTAAAGGCCTCCTCCAAAGATATTTGCTAAATAAAACAAAGTTGCAAATACATATCACCTTGCAATCTTTGCCTTCAACAGGTGTGTGCGTGCCACTGATGCTGGAGTCATTGCCCTAGCGGAAGGATGCTCCTACCTTGAGCTGCTTAGGTAATTTACCATAACTTGAAATCATTTAGGGACCACCTTGTAGGTGTTGTAGCTCTTCAATCTTTGTATCTCAGGATCTAAAACTGTGAACTTTTGTTTGCAACGTGTTTTTTGCTCCCCCCCCCCCCCCTCTCAATTTATTAATATTGTTATTGTGATTGTTATTATTATTTTTGTTATTGTTATTGCAGTGGTCTATTAAACAATAATTTGCAAACGTCGTACATTATGGTTATTTAGAATGTGAATTAACTAGCCTCTCAGTAGTTTCTGCATTGATATGTAAACCTTATTTTTGGCATCAATCTGATGTTTCTGAAGTAAAACTACAGCTTGTTTGGAATTCTTGGGGTGACTGATCAGAGCCTCGAAGCACTCTCAAGGTCATGTTCGAGTACACTCAAAACTCTTGATGTGAACGGGTGCATTAACATTAAGGTACGTGTGTATTCTACAACCGTCACTTACGTTTTGGAGTGAATGGATGCATTAACATTAAATTTGTGTCTAGTCTAAAACTCCCATTAATATGTTGGGGTGCCAATATGTCAAGTACATTATGGGACTTAAAAAACCAAGTCTAGTCTGTAGCATATCTTTGACATCAACTTTTCTTGCTTTTCTGAAAGATCATTGCATTAATCTACCTTTTTTCATTTTTTTAGAGAAGAACCCGTGAAGAACTGCTTCAGCTGTTCCCACTTTTAGAGTGTTTTAAAGTGCACAGCTAGTGCAATGCTTGTTGGACCACATCCTGATATCAATCTGTGTCTGGACAGTTTCTGCTTACAGCTTATGAAAACGTGCTAACGAATACATTAGAGCACATTCCAACTGTTGGATGAATCACCCGTAGTGTTTATTGTGATGCAGCAGCTTTTTCCCAGAATACAATTGTGGGAAAAGAAATTTTACATTCCAATAGTGGTAGAAACTCATGAGTCATTGCCATGATATGTTCAGTGAGTGATTTTATATCTTCATAATATGCAGTTTCACTAGGAAGTTGATGTGCACTTATTATGGGGTGCTAAATTCCTTTCCAAGTTTCCAGATATACACAAATTGCAAAATCGAAACAAATCCAGAATCAATTGGAGTCTCCAATGAAGATGGAAGAGAAGCGTTCAGGTTCAACTTTTGGTTTTTCTCCCATAACATTGTTTCTAATTAGATGTAATTTTTTATTTTTTGTGTTTTTTTTGGAGAAACTTCGTATTCAATGTATTGTGTGTTGATAGGCAACTATTTCTTAAGTGACACAGTAGGGCCTTTATTATTGAATGAAAATGTATGTTGAATGAGTGAGATGTTTGAATCGTTTGATACATCTTATCTATTTGGAAATTTTGTCTAGAAAAACCTTTTGAAGTGAACTTTTTGTTCGGTGAAACCTTTTAAATTTTTTTTGGCTAGGAGAAACCTGTTTATAAATTATTTTTGTTGAGGACAACCAAGTGGCACTTTTCGATGTTGACTCTCCTTTTTCCGGCATTGACTCGCTTTTTTCCCACATGTGCGTGTCACGTGCCTCCTATTTTTCTAATCACACCCCCTCTTTTCCTAATTCCACTCAAAATTCCCTCCAATTAAACACACTCTCCCTCTCCTCTGTGAACAAGCATCGAGGCAATTAATCACTTCTCTGCCATGGCTGCTACATCATTAAGTCCATGAAGTCCTCTTTGCCACAGGGTGGCCACACCCACACCTCAAATCACCACCTAGAACCATAATTGCTGCATAATTGAGAAAATTTTTAAAAGGGGGAAAACCCCTAATTTTTTTTTCAACTATCGAAAACATGAGAGATTGATAAATTAAGCACTTTCCTCTAGTCGAAACTTGTTGGGAAAGCCTTCAATTGCTTCGAATCAACTGAACTCCAACAATGGCTGGTTCACAGAGAGGAGAGAGAGTGTGTTTAATTGGAGGGAAAATAGATTGGAATTAGGAAAAGGGGGTGTGATTAGAAAAATAAGAGGCACGTGACACGCACATGAGGGAAAAAGGCGAGTCAACGCCGGAAAAAGGAGAGTCAACGTCGGAAAGTGTCACTTGGCTGTCCTCAACAAAATAATTTTATAAACAGGTTTCTCCTATCTAAAAATTTTTTTAACAGGTTTTTCCGAACAAAAAATTCACTTTAAAAGGTTTTTCCAGACAAAATTTCCTATCTATTTTAGTACATGTGTAACTCCCAAAGTTTGAAAAGTTTGAAGGTCATTAAGGCTAAAACTTCTTGAAATCTACCTACATACGCAGCAAACTTAATTTAAAGTCATGACTCATAATGGAAGTCTTTTTTTTTTTTTTTTTTGAACGGTGTTGTAAGGCACATAAAGGAAGTCTTGACGACTAGATAAAGAGGGTGTTTATATGGTGTTTGGTTTACATTTGGGTTATACCTAATCTATAATCTATAATATTATTAAAAGACAACATCATACCGTCATGTGTCACTGACTTCCATCTTTAATCCTTTCATTCCATTTGTTTTTCACTGATATCTAATCTTCCAACTTTTATATATGACATAAGTATTTTAATTTGATTCAATTTATTTCGATAAAACAAATATATTTCTTCTTATTTTTATTTATATTTACATTTATAAAATAAATTGGTATTCAAAAATTTTCTACATGTTCTATAAGTAATATTTCTTATCATATACCTAATATATAAAGCTAAACTTTTAGCTAGGTTAGGAGAAAACAACACTCGACATTTCAACTTTTCGCCAAGTGTCGCGTCACGTAGATGACAATTAATTATTAATATAACACGCAGGTTTTATTTGAATATATTTTTTGAAGAATGGGATAAAAAAGTTGGATAGATTCAGTAAGATAAAAGTTATTTTAGTGTTTTATTTTCAATAAAATTTGGATGATTTAGTAGGATAAAAAAGTTTTTTTTAGAGCTTTATTTTCAATAAAACTTTTAGTTTAGAATTTTATTTTCAATATAATATCAATTTTTCTATACAAATGACGGATCCAGAAAGGTACAAAAGGAAAAAATAAAAAATCAGAGAGTATTATTAAAATTAAATCAATATAAGCCAAAGTTTGAAGTCTTTGGGGAAAATCAATCGTACATAAGTATTTTAAATTCATATCAATCTCCTATCTAGCTACCATATGGACAGTCATATTACCCGCCCATCACACATGAGTATAATAAAAAATAGGATATTTTGGATTTTAACACCTGACAAATACCCGAAAATGGGTTTTAACACCTCCAAAAAAAAAAGTTTTATTTTAACACCAGACAAATGTTACGAAAATGGTTTTTACCACCACTTAACGGTTTCCGTCCAAAAATTCCGTTAAGTGGGGTCTACAGTGACACGTGTCACCATTTTACTTGTTTTCAAAAAATAAAAATAAAATAAAAAAAAACATAAAAAAAAATCTATTTATTTTTAAAAAGCTCAAACAACCAGAATGCAGCCACCAACGGTGGCCCTTCTTCCCGGCCAACCCCTGAACCACCCTCTCCTAGCCCCTCGTCACCGGATTTCGCCACCGGACCTTTCTGAACACCGGAATTCGACGTACCCTCGCTTCCCGTAGCCGAAATTTGAGAACCCCCACTAAAAATCGCGCCCAGAAAATCGCGCCCAAGCGGTGGTAACAACCTTCCTTCCCCAAAAAAGCCGGCGAATTTGGCCATTAATGGCTGAAATCGATCGGTTTTGGGGCTGAGTGGCCTTAACCGGCCGATTTCGGCCATTAATGGCCGAATTCGTGGCCGAATCAACGGCCAAATATTCGGGCTTGGTGATGGCGGTGGTCGGGCTAGGGTGGTTTAAGGCCGCGGGAAAAGGGTGGGGATGGGTTTAGGTCGGCCGGCGAGGGAGGGGGGAGGTGGTGCGCTGGCCGTTACGTCGCCGGCTGTGGGTCAAGCTGAAGAAGAAGGTTGCAGTGGTGGGGCGGCGGTGGGGCTAGGGTGGCTGGGTAGTTTTGGGTTTTTTTATTTTTTTTTTATTTTTTTTATTTTTTGGCCAATAAGAAAGCGACACGTGGCTCATGCACCTACTTAACGAATTCTTAAACGGAATCAGTTAAATGGTGGTAAAAACCATTTTTATATTTTTTGTCAGGTGTTAAAATAAAAGTTTTTTTTGGGGGTGTAAAAAACCATTTTCGGGTTTTTATCAGGTGTTAAAATTCAAAATATCCTAAAAAAATAAAAAATAAAAAAACATTAAAATCACAACCCATCCTAAAATTATCATCCAATAAAATGAAAATAGGTGTAAATCCAAACTGATTTCTTTGAATTGCTTTGACCATGCTACTTTGAGACACTTTCAAGAACTACATTAGATAGTTTTTTTAAAAAAAACACACACAAATAACAAAAAACTACATTAGATAGCATAAGCTCATTCCCAAAGTTACCCACAACTTAACTTTACGAGCGGTGGTAATATATTCTTTGTTTTATAAATATGATTATCAAGTGATCATTAATACATGAGAAGCAAATTCGAATAACATAGATATTTTTCTCATATATATAGTGTATAATTTATATAATGATATTGCGATCTTACAAAAATCAATAGTATTTTAATCAAAATATCCAAAATCAAAAGAGCAATTATATGTCTTTTTTTCACAAATATGTTTTAAAATTTGGCATATAGATAAAAAAAAAAGTTTATCTTAATATTTAATAAATTACACGGGCATCACACGGATATAAAACTAGTTTTTATATAATAAATTTTATTTATTTTTATAGAATAGTAATGGATATAAATTTATTTGCCTAATATTTATTTAGTATTTGTATTTTGCAAGACAAATATAAATAGATAATAGAATACGTATTTTGTTATAAGTTGTCAGGCTCCTTATATATTAAAGACAACTTTGATTGTAGGTCATTAACATAGTGCAAATAGATAGTGCATACAATCTTTATGTACTAAAAATGACTTAAAAGTTATATATTGCAATCATAAGTTTCCTTCGCTCCAACCTATCATTATTCTAATAATTAGCATATTTTTTCTTCAACAAAATCAATCCATTAATAAAAAGTCATCCGACATTTACAAATAAAATCTAAATTAACAAATAAAATAGAATCAATAAAGGTTTCGTCATCAAATTTACGGTCGTTGAGAATATCTTGCACTGTGGTACATCCCTCGCATACATCGTTGAATATGTAGTCTTTTCGGAGAGACGGTTTAACGATTTGTTGTAGCCGTAAATATGATTACTATCTGATTCGGTTGAACGTATTTGAGAATTCGACAACCGCTGCGATCCTGAACAAATTTTTACCAACAAACTGATAATAGGGTAAACATGATTTTTTTTTATAAGCCTTGACACATATATAAACTCTAACAAAAACCAAACAACTATATATACTAACAAAAATAAACGACTCCACCATAGGGAGAAACTCTACAATAGGAAGACGGGGGATTATCTACACTACTTGTGTAGATTTATCAAAACCTAAAATGCAACGCTATAGACAAACAAGAAAAAAGGGTTGGAAATAGTCTAACTTCCGAAGAAATTAAACTATTTCCGGCTTATACGGCAAAAAATTATAAACCCTAGAAGAGAAGAGAGAGGAGAATTTAATTCATTTTAGAGGTGATGTATCCTAATAATTAGCATGAACAATGCATAAAGTGTCTAAATATGAAATTCATAAACATATTAGTCAAGACAACATTATGTAGGCCAAAAAAAAAGCAGAAATATCGACGCTACTTGCCGAATATTAGGTCATAAAAATGAAACATTCAAGGGACTATCTTAACCAAATGTTTATGGTGATAGTTAGAGCCCAAAATTTATTTTATACTACTTTATGACGCTTCTTTAGCTTACTTAAGAACTCTTTGTGTTTGAAGTGTGAATGTAGTATGATCTCCTAATATCTATGGCTAAATTTTTCACATTGATAATGAGAGATGGATGAGAATTGAACCCATGACTTTTTTGTCACGCTAACTCCAACATCATGTCAAAGGTCTAACCCAATCAAAAGTTAAAACTGATGATTGAAGCCTCTGTATAGGTTTAATACTTTATTAATAAATATATGACAACATTTTTACAACATATAAATCATTAAGAGACGTTGAAAAAAAAAAAAAAAAAAAAAAAAGACGTTGTTATTAATAAATATATGACAACATTTTTACAACATATAAATCATTAAGAGACGTTGAAAAAAAAAAAAAAAAAAAAAAAAAAAAAAAAAAAAAGACGTTGTTGAATAATGATAAACAAAAAATATGGAAAGGGGATATAAGTATTATTATGTAGTAACTACTTGCACTATTATAGAATTGATGTTGTGATTGAATAGATAAATCTAATAACAAATAATTTAATTGGCAGTCTAAATAATATATCAATGGAAGAGTTTCTTCCAATATATTGATATAAAAATTGAGCAATAATATTTGTATAACACAAACTATTGGGTGCGAGCACCCGCACCCAAGTGTTTGTGTGGCGAGAAGGGAGCGGCGCTGAGGAATTGATCCTTCATTTCAGATTCAACCTTAAACCTCCATTGCCTGCTAACTCCAACACCTGAAACCAACAATTTCAACCTCCATTTCAGATTCAACACCCCAAAAAAATAAAAATAAAAACCAAAAAAATTCAAAAAAATTCGGTAAAAAGGGAGACAATATTTGAATGTACCTCAGCAGCAAGGTATTCGAGGACAGCAGCGAGGTAAACGGGGGAAGCGAAGCTAAGATGTTGAGCGTAACGACCTTTTTTTAGGAAACGATTGATTCAATCGACGGGGAATTGAAGGTTTGCTTTGACAAATTGACGAACGACCTTCTTACGGTCATCGTCGCGATGGCCACCAACGCCTTTGGTGGTGGTTTCGGTTGGAGGTGGTGCGATTTTGTGAACGCTGATGGTCGTGGGTTGGGCGACAATTGAGGATCAGCGGTGGTGGTTTGATGGTGGCTATATATTGGGCGGCAGTTGGGGGAATTATTTGTTTCATTTCTTATTGGGGATATGGAGAAACAGAGAAAAGGAAAGAGAGGAAGAGGGGGAAAGAGGAGAGAGAATGAAATAAAAATAGTTTGTACTTGTATATACTTTGTACATCAGTCAATACAAGTAACAGATCAGCCAATTCATGTTTGATATCAATCAACATTAAAAATATTAATA